ATAAATTAAAAAAAACATACAAAACAATCAAATTAAGAAATAATAAATACATTTGTGTATACTGTCATTATTTCATAAAATATAACTTTGCTTAACTCATTGTATTTCCTTTTGCATGATTGATTTGAGCTGTAGAAAGTTCCAGAGAGACGATGTCTACTAATGAGAGGGTCCATTGGGAGATCTGGAGTTTATGAGGAGGTTTCAACCTTAATACTAACAGTCTTTTTGTGGCTGTCAGACCTAAAAGCAGAAGTATTCTCTGAGATTTGGAGACATTAATTACTGAATCATCATTTAGAAGTAAGACATTAGGTAAAATAGGATTAGTAGTTCCTGTGATATCACATAACACAGTATATAACTCTAGACCAAAAATAGTCTGACATTATTTGCATATAGGTTCCCACTTCATTAATATTACATAATGTACAGATGGGCGTGGGACAAAGGTTGAATTGAAGGTGTTTCCTAGGGGTCAAATAGAAAAAGCGGTCCTCTTACAGTAATCATTTTCATCATTGACTCTAGCTATATGATTTTTCTAACATGAATGAAAGCATCTGGTGGACATTGCTTTAGCCTTAAATAAGCTTGGGATTTGTCATTGGTGCAACTGATAGTGAGAAGTTTATCAGTTTAAGGTTACTGAAACTGTTAAACTTCAAAGAAGCCTGAACTTCAAGGGCTACACCAGTGATTTGTTCTGGAACTTTTATAAAGGAGAAAGTAAAATAAGATATCCTAATTTTTGAGTGTGTGTGTGTCTGTCTGTCTGTCTGTCTGTCTGTCTGTCTGTCTGTGTAGGTCTCTGGTGGTCCACGGCTTCGCTGTCAGTGAGAAAGGAGAGAAGATGTCCAAGTCTGTGGGCAATGTTGTGGATCCTGATGCAGTCATTAATGGAGGGAAGGTAAGGTGCCGGCCTCTGGGAAACTGTCCTGAAACTTAAATTTTATCAGGAGTCACTAAAACTTTTATAAAGATAACTTATAAAAGTCGCTTATAAAGTCGCTCTAGAGCCTCACCATCTCAGATCAACACAATGGGTGCTACCGCTGACCAGACTCCATTGACAAAACCAGTCGTTTTACCTAGCTGATAATAGCAGAAAAAAACACTTTAAACTGGACAGAAACAAAATAAAACTCAACAGAATTGTCTTTGTTAGTCTTTCCAACAATCACCAACTCTTGTTTGGTCCAAATAAATCATTAATGTACGAGTTAAATGAGAAAATAACCCCGAAACGGGCTGCAGTGCCCTGTAACGTTAGCTACTCCTTGGAGACAAATACAACAAAGTACATTCACTAACTGCTTGTTTCTGCCACTGACAGACTCAGATTGTTATTCTGAGTGTCTGACAGCATTATGGAAAGGATCCCTACAGACATAGAGCTTTTGTTTAACCAGAAACAGTTATATCACTGTCACTCAGCACCAGACTCCATAGAGAAAAACAGAATTTTACCTTGCAGAACATTGTACCATTGTAACTTCATTCAAATTGGACAAAAACAAAATAAAAGTCACCAAAACAGTCTTTGTTAGTCTTTCCACTGTTCCATCAATCACCAACTCTGGTTTGGTCAAAAATAAATCCTGAATTCACAGATGTAGATGAGAAAAAAAGGCTTTTTGTTTATCTATTTTCAGGACCCCAGTATGCCAGCCTACGGGGCAGATGTGCTGCGTTGGTGGGTGGCGGAGTCAAACGTCTTCTCTGAGGTTCAGATCGGACCCTCTGCACTCAACTCAGCCAGAGACGGCATCGGCAAGGTACCAGTGCAGTAAGGACGCAGTTGCAAGTGAGTGTTTTATTTTTTTGGAACGATACGGCTTTCACACTCTGGCCACATTTCTCTCCCAGTTGAGGAACACTCTGAAGTTCCTGCTCGGGAACCTGCAGGGCTTCGACCCCCGCGTGCAGGCTGTGGACCCCAAAGAGATGCACTACATTGATCAGTACATGCTGCACTTGCTCCGCGAGTACAGCATCAAGGTAGAACTTGTTCATCTAAGTCCACACAGAGCCAGCTGCTGACTGACGTGAGGTTACTGATGTGTGTGTGTGTGTGTGTATACGCGTGTGTGTGTGTGTTTGTGTGTATTTGCAGGTGACAGATGCCTACAGTGAGTTTGATGCTGGCAGGGCCATCCGTGTCCTCCAGGCCTTCATCGCCAGAGACGTCTCCAGCTTGTACTTCAGCATCATCAAAGACAGGTCCACAACACGAAAGCCACTCTTGGTTTAGCTGTGTCTGTGTCCTGCTTGTGGCTTTACTTTGTCTTAAGTTTCTGTTAAACTCTGTCTTTGTTCTTCTGTCCTTTTATTTCTGCCCTTTTCAATCAGGTTGTACTGTGATCCAAAGGACTCGTTGGGCAGAAGATCATGTCAGACGGTTTTAGAGGAAGTCCTAGATGGAGTGACCAGATCCATAGCCCCCATCCTGCCACATCTAGCTGAGGAGGTCTATCTGCACGCACCAGGACATGACCGTATGTGCCCGTATGTTTGTGCTGTCAGAATATTGAGGTTACCCCTTATGACTGTGACCATCTGTTCGTATATTTTTGTTCACTTGCTAACAAATGCATTCTTCAACTGTAATTGTTTCTGCAGAAGGGGAGACGTTATTCAAGAGCGGCTGGATCAAAAGCAGTTCTGTGTGGCGGCGACCGGGATTGGAGGAGGCAGTGGAAGGGGCGTGTGCTATCAGGGACTCCTTCCTGTCCTCCATTCCAGGCAAAAACGCAGCCCAGTATGACCTCACCGTTGCCATTGAACCCGGTTTGCTGTTTGAACTCATGGAGGTAAATCAAACCAAACATATCTGAGACTGAGACTGGTGATATTTATACGATTGAAACTAATTGAAACCAACTTTGTTTTTTCACTTCAAAACAAAAATCTGTTGGCTGCATAATACACTGACCTTTTTAACTGGTGGATGAAATGAAACAGTCTCAACTTAATACTGATGCCTCTGTATGACCTACATAAACAAAGGAGATCCTCAGTGAGCAGATTTCCAAATTCTATAGTTATTCTTAGTGCCTGCCATCGGGTCAGATTTGGTAGATTCCCCTTGAAATTAGTGAAATGAGGCAGTAGAAACACTACCGCTTTTGTCTGTGATAAAAGAGGAAATGATCCACTAAATGGGTTGCAAATATTATCTTATGTGTTGTTTGCTTACATAACACTACATTAATAAAATACCTGGCTAGAGCTATAATAATATAGTATATTTTTACTGGTAATGTAACATCTTTAAAATATTATAATACTAATAATTGTTATAAAAATAAAATATGCTACGTCCATGTTTGAAGTATCCAATAGAATGACATTATGTAATGAATTGTACGTGTCTTTTATATTTCTATATGTGTATTTAAAGGCTCAATATTAATAGAAACTCCTTCTGTCCCCCTCTACACTCCCAGTCTCTCCAAGAGGAACCCTCCTCCACCACCTCGCAGCTGGTTGAGCTGATGATGGTGGCGCGGGTCAACCTGACCAGTAAGCTACCCCGCGACCTGCCCTCAGATGCCCTGCTGAGCCACGGTACCTTCCTCATCAACCTGGAAGGTGAGGACCGTCAGCACTAAGCTAGTGATGCAAATGTTAACCAAGTTTGTGGGATGTCATACTTCCTAACACTGGCAGTGTCAGGGCCCTGGTGCTGTTGGTTACACGAGGCATGTATGAGTAATGAATTAGCCAGCTCTCTTTTGGTTTTCCTCAAGTTTCTTGATATCATAAAAATTACTCTCTTTTAATGGCATGGATTACCATGGCAACCCATGCTGCAGGTTTCAAGAGGATCAGAAAAAAACCTGAACTCTTATAAAGTTGGGGGATTCAAAGGAGAAAATTGAATCAATCAAAATTGAAGCAGCAGAGGTTGATATCCTGACTTTTGGGTCAAGCTCCAAAACCACTTGATCCTACATTTCCCATAATGCAACCCCACTATGACTATGTGTATTTTTCCTCTCTGTTGTGTTAAAGTTCATACATAAACATAAAAAAAAGCACCAAAGTGTAACCGTTTGTGACAGTTGGAAATGCCAACCTCCTATTGGAAAGACATCAATAAGCAGCGACTTCCAGTTTGCTCAGTGTGTGTGTGTGTATCCCGTCAGGTGGTGTTATCCGTGAGGACAGTGCCTACAGTATAGCAGTGGTACCCACCTCTGCTGCCCGGTGCCCGCGGTGCCGGCGATACACTGCAGAGTCAGCAGACTGCCTGTGCCCGCGCTGCCAGTCCGCTGTTTCACAGGCTCACTGACGGGCCAGACATCGCGTCAGCGTGACGACCAGCGAACACCACCTTGGCTGTTTTGTTTCCCCGCTGGATATAGACCAGGTTTTACGATGCCTGTCTCTATTATCTGAGAGTTGTGACACTAACTCTGAATCAACTATCCTCACTCTGGTAAGAGAACCTGCAGGTTGGCACAGGGCTGCACTGTAATGGCCTAACAGCAGATAAGTGTACTGTTCCTCAATGTGCTTCAGATTTCACTGTTTCGCACTCACTGTACACTTTCCTAGAACAGCAGGTGAAGCTTATATGTCCAAGGCTGCGGCATGAATGTGCTGCTTATACATTCGGTCTTATGCCACCAAGAAACTGATACAGCATGAGCTAGATTGTTTACTGTATATATAATTGGGAATTGAATATATTGACTTGATTTTCAGTCTAGAATGGTTGCCATTCAGAGGGTGTATGTGTTTTTTTTTATGCGTAAATACATGGAAAAGAAATTCACTACCATGAGTCACTGTGTGACAACAGTATAACAGAATTTATATTGGATGTGGGTAAATTCTGTAAACGCCTACTTTATATAATAAAGCCTGTTCCTCGTCAACTTTCCCATAAAATTGAAGGTGTGTGGAAAGATATCTCTAAGTTATAAATAAATGGAGTTGTATCTGAACATGTTATGAGTGTGCATGATTATTATCTCAACAGAAACAATATCTAAGCTTTTGAGAAACCTTTTTATTCTGCATGGGATCAGCCCAGTGGGACTACAGAATAGAAGGTGTACAGGCAGAGCTAGTACAGTACTGTCTGCATATATAAATAAAAAATAATTCTTTATGATACAGCTCTTGTCCATGAGAGGGAAAGCGGAAGGAGAAATGTCAAACAGGACTCTGATATGGCACACAGTTAGGACACCCACACACTGACGTCTGATTTTTAAAGAGAATCAGATTGAAAATGAGGGAGGAGTGACAAAGAAAAGACATGCCCCGTTCCTTAATAACCATCTCCTAAACGCTTCAATAACACAAGAATTCATTATACTTTGTTACATGCACAAAAATATGATGGATTAAAAAAAGTTAAAAGCCTATCATATCCACTCTACATCGCTGCCTTCTACAATTAAATTGTGAGGACGAATTTATCGTATTAACATGAGCTGAATAACGAAATAAAAATCTCCTCCGTGACAAAGAGGGTCGCTTATCACTGCTGCCTCTCTCATCCGTCCACTATGGCCAAGCCTTCGAAAGGTGTCTTCCAGCCTTCCAGCCCCCCATCCCTCCCTCTCAGGAGGGTCAGTCCTCAGTGGTGAGGGCCTCCACAGCCTCCAGGAGGTGCAGGGCCAGGCTGTACTGGGCGTGGTTCTCCGGGAGGATTTCAATCAGACGGCCGACCAGCCTGCTGGTCTGCGGCAGGGGGACCAGGGGGCACCGCAGCTCACCGGGGTCCTGCAGCACACGAAACATATTATATGGCAAAACTTCCAAATAGCCCATATCAATGTAATGACATCTGGTTCAGGGTGCCCTGTAAATACTGGAATACAAGGGTTGAACTGAATTAAAAAATGCACTTATTGAAAATAGCATCTAGCCCCTAAGAACCTGTGACTGAAATATCTCCAGTGTATAAGATGTTTTGGTGTCTCACCATAGCCTTGAGCCATGTGCAGAGGGTGGGGGGCAGGCGGGCCAGGAGCTCCATGGCAGCCTGCGTCTGGCTCTGGCTGTGGAGCAGTGAGTAGCTCAGCCTCTGGCCAGTCAGCACCAGCAGCTGGGAGCCCAGTACATCCTTATCCTCCACCTCTAACATCACCTGGGTGATGACATCCAAAACCACACAATTACACAGCATTTCAAGCACTGTGGTCAGCATAAAGGTTTAATGGAACATACAACAACAAAATGTAGTATCATCCCAAAGAACCACATTTTCCTTTACCTCTTCAGCCCGGGGGTCGAGGCCCTGGTTGTAGAGCTCGCAGACGAGGTGCCGTCTCAGGATGTCGGGGTTTACCTGCAGCAGGGAGCCCAGCTCCAGACACATCGAGGGCCACCAGTCAGCCTTGGGGCCACTAGAAGGTAGAGGGGGGGGGCTGGTGCCAGAGGAATCGTCTATAGCCTGCACCCAGGCGGTCAGCACCCGCAGGAGGAACTGGGACATAATAGGAGGGAAACACAGATGAGACAGAACATTTGTTTCAATATCTTCATTACTACTGATTTCTAGATAAGTTCAGCTCTCACCTCTTGTCGTAGTGAGATCAGACCTGGGTCCATGTCTCCACTGGGCATCAGCTGGATGGTCGTCAGATCTCTGAAGAAAGCATTCTTCCCCTGCGACAGAAAGCAGAGCAATACTTAATAATTCAGTGAAGATCAATGAAGCAGATCAAACTTCTTTTAATACACCCAATACACTACGGCTGTGAACAGACAATGCTGTAATACTAGATTAGGAATCAGACATTAAAGTATCCAGTAGCTATTAAATGATGTCTAGAGACTTTGGTTTACCTTCACAGTCAACGTGAGTGTGTGTGAGTGTGTGTCCCCTCACCTTGCTGTCAAACAGGCTGAGTGGTTTGACCTTTAGACTGAACGTCATAGCAGAATGTAGCAGGGAGGCTAACAGGCAGTGGTGTTGCACCAGGGGGTAGTGGACTCCTCTCTGTTCCAGGGCAAGTTCAGCTATGGATGCGGGGCCCTCTGCCCCGAACCACGCCTCCTCCACAGACAACTCTGGAGCAGGAACCTCCTCCACCGCGGAGTCCGCCTGCATTAAAAAGGAACGAGATGATGATGATGAGAAAGGGTTGTGTAGTGGTGAAGAATGTGGCTAATTCACATTGTGATCATAACTCACCCGCAGTTAACGCAGTGCAGAATACAACACATGCACAACATTTAAAGGCCCCCTCCAGTCAAAAATGTGTTTTGCTTATTGTTGGTTCAGTTGGATGTCTAAGCTTCACCATGCAGAATGATCTATGTGCACATACACTAAAAATTGACTTTTCAGTTAAGAAGGATGCATCGTGTCTAGAATTTACATTTTTGAAATGAACAATATTTATATTGTCTAGATTTTCTAGAAAGACTCATTTTAACAAGGTGTTTGAACTATTTTGTGGAGCAACCATATCAGACACAAATCATAGTTGGAATGTCTGGAGGGGATCTTTAAGTAAGCTAGCAAGCTAATGAAGTGTGTGTCAGCTGTGGTTAGTAGTGGCAGCGACAGGTTCTCCATGCTTTTTATCTGGAATCTGTTTACTTACATAGTAATTTATAAAAGACAAAGGGCACTGATTTTTAACCAATACTCCAGTCACCTCCATGAGGATCTGCAGCAGCTGGACACAGCAGCCCAGGAAATATGTTGCAGCTTTGTCTCCCATCCCGACATCCTGCACACATACACACATCATTAATATGTGAAGCTTAATACTTTAATTGCAATACTACATAGAGGATTGAAAAAATCTAGCATACATCAAGACTGGCATTATATATTTGAAGCTAGGATGATGTTTTAGAATTTATACTGAGACACAAACTTACCCGTCGACATAAGCGATCTTTAGGTGACTTCCCCACCTACGAAAAAAGAAGTGGAAACATTTTACATGTTGCCCCACAGACTTAAAGGTTATATATATATATATATATATATATATATATATATGAGTTTTAAAACAATAACATAGCAAAAAACATCTATTTGCTATGTGATGATATCGTGTAGTCATGGTGTCCTAAGCCTGTGTGGCTATCACAGTGTCTGTGGTTTGTTTCCATAGCAGGTCTGCTCTGCTGAGTAGAACGACTGAAACTGCTGTTTTTATCATTTACGTCTGCGAATTCAGGATTTCTTTAGACCAAACCAGAGTTGGTGATTGTTGGAACAGTGGACAGACTAACCAAGATTGTTTTAGTGAGTTTTATTTGGTTTCTCTCAACTATGAATGAATATACAATGACATATGTAAAATTACTGTTTTTCTCTGTGGAGTCTGGTGGCGAACGATAGCGATATAACTGTTTCTGGTTAAACAAAAGCTCTATGTCTGTAGGGATCCTTTCCATAATGCTGTCAGACACACAGAATAACAATCTGAGCCCGTCAGTGGCAGAAACAAGCAGTGTTAGTGGGTTTAATTCGACGGGTACATTTGTCCCTGTTAGCTTAAGTCGCAACCATTGTAGCCCTTTTCACAAATATTTTCACATCTAACTTTGTGAATTAAAGGTTTATTTCAACAAAACCAGCATTGGTGATTGCTGGAAACTGTGGAAAGACTAAGAAAGATGGTTTGGTAAGTTTTATTTTGTTTCTGTCTGAGCGTTTTGGTCTGAGATGTGGGTGCTCTAGTTTGACATAAAAACACCTTCCCTCAGGCAGAAAGGTGTGTGTCTGTGTATAATTTACCTTCTCCATGAGGAAGGCTGCTGCTGACAAACGCTTGACAATGAACGTGCTCCACATCATTGTAGAGATACCTGTGAGGAAGATTCAAAGTCCAATGACACACTAATAACTCACTTTCAGAAGGCACTGATTAACAGTGGAGACACTGACATTACAACTCATGATACAGTACTTTCACTCTGAGGATATATGTTCTGGTATTTTACACATGCCTGAAGAATGAACACCCTTTTCTATAATTAAACAGTACTAAGATACATCAGACATATTATTATAGAAACTCTTTGCAAGCATGTAAACAAAAGCCACTGAGCCTCTCACCTAGTTGGATATGTGGACTGGAGACCAGCTTTAAATGTTCCACAGCCCAGCTTAAGTATCGACTCTCCTAGGAAGAGAAGCAGGTGTCCAGATTTCAGAACAAATGCAATTTATGAAAACCTGCCTTTCCCCTCTGGTGAAAGTGGCTTGTTGCAGCAAGTACTGATAACATACACAACATTAACAGAAGCAGACAACTATCAAAGAATACCCAAACTGATAAGACTACATCACCAATGAGTAAGATAAAATCGTTTTTTAAACACTTCAGGGCTGTCTTCTGAACTATCATAGACACAAATACGTATCTATATGTCTGTAAACAATATGTGTATGTATGTGGGAATGTGCACCTCAGGGTCTTTGTTCCACTGCACTACATATTCCCAGCAGCAATGAGCGAAGAGCAGGTCGGGTGAAAGTGAGTGGGGGAACCGCTGGCACACTGCCACCAACAGCTCTGGAAAACACAGCGGACACTGTGGTAATGTAATGCTGTATGAGTCTACAAAGGTTTTAACATGTAAAGGTTATAAACATGAGAGAGGATCTTTAATTTAACATCAAGATTTCTGTACGTCAAAACCATTTCAACATTTGTCAACAACATTTTGATCAGTGCTTGTCCAGAATTCATTCCAGCAGCTAGATACCATATCTCTGAGTCCTGACCTGCTGTCCTGTCTGTGTCCTCTTGGCTCTTCTCCTCCTGCTCCTTTCCTTCTTCTCCTGCCTTCTGCTCCAGTTTGTCCTCTGCCTCTTTGTCTTCTCTCTTCTGGAGAATTTCCTTCAGTCGCTCGGGGGACAAGTTGTGCCTGAACACCCACTTGGAGACACTGTCAGCAATGCCACCTTTTTAGATAGATGTGAAAAGAAAAGTGTAAGAGCATCTGTCATATGTAGCCACAACCAGAATATGGAGACTGAACGAAAAAAGAAAAACAATACAAGAACGAAGTGACAGAATTACATCTCATTTAGAAGGAAATCATCACAAAAAAACAAAAGCAAGACAAATAAATAAAACTGCCTGCCTATACACTGTTTATTCCTGAGGATATTCTTCTTTACTGCCTACCTGTGCCTCCTTCCATCAGCGTTTTGATGGAGCACTGTGCTGCAGCGCCCCCTCCTGACCCCTGAGGAGGAGGCACCAACAGCAGAGTCTGCAGCACCAACACATCCTCTAGCTGGCGAACAAACACCACCCACTGCTCCAGCTCTAGGGACACCGCCTCCCACTCTGACTGCAACTGTCACAAACATTAACAGGAAACGGGCGGAGTCAGGGAGTGTGCGTTTTAAGTGGCTGATAGGAGGCGTGGCAAATAAACCGGTATTTTCTACTTCATGTGGCAAACTTAGTATCTCCACCGGAGACTGCGTGTGTGTGCATGAGGCTTCTTTACCTTGCTGTCAGCCCGGCTTGTGATGCTAGCCTTAGCAGCACGGTGAGCAACGAAGGCGGCCAGCAGAGCAGCAGCAGAATTGTGGGACTGGATGCATGTGTGGCGAACTTGCTGCCACCAGGGGGAGATAGACTGGGTGTCCCAAGACTCCTCAACTGCACCTTAAGATGAAGAAGAAGAAGTGGTAACTCTTTGATCATCTTTCATTAACTTTAATTGGCTGACAGACAGACAGACAGACAGACAGACAGACAGACACCTATGTAACGAAGTCAGAACCATCGACTCTGTATAAAAATGGACCACGCATCTCCACCTCCTCCACCTCAAAATGAAGCCAAAATATCCTGGATACAAGTTTTTTTAAGCAGCTGTCATGTCATCTATGGGTGGGACCTCAATACCACAGCCCCAAATGACATCACCAGGATAAAGATGGCAGCGGCCGTATCTGGGATATTTTGGCTTCATTTTTGCACACTGGGACAAAGTGGTCCATCTTTTATATGTGGATGCTATATACGATCAATGGTCAGCACACTCTGGACAAAAACACATACCTTTCATGTTGCTGAGGGCAATGAGTAGTGTGTGTAAGTTTCTAACGGTTTCTCCTGGTTTCTGTAGCATCTCCTTCTCTCTTTGCAACCACACACTTAGCAACAGAGACTGAAAGAAAGAGGAGCAGGAAGAGTAAAAATGAAACACATATTTTCATTTAGAATGGTGACGCTACAAAAAACCCCCTAAAATCATAAAATAAGTTCTATGTTGCTGCCATTCCCATTCTCTTACATAGAGGTGTTTTGGGAGGCTATGGCCTATAACAAAAAACACACATTTCAAAATATGAAATAACAAAAACTACATATCACTATTACATTTGTCTTCAATTTATCTGTGGTTTCAATTCCTCTTCCCTTCTAGACATTCTCATGTATTAACCCTCACCACACTTTTACCTTCATTAGCAAATCTCCATTCAATCTATCAGTCTTTTCCTCCATCTTACCAGTAGCTGCTGTGGACTGATGCCCGCCTCCTGCAGTGTGTCACAGACTTTATGGAGTGGACTGTTTCCACACAGACAACCCCAGAACATAAAGTTCCCTGCAAAGGACACACAAGAGCAAAGTACTCAGTCTGGATTTGTGTGCTGTGCTCCCTCATTGAGATTTCTGTATATGAAAGGTTCATGTGGGGCTCTTTTTCCCTCCCTCACAATTCTCCTTGTGCCTCGTGTAAGTCTGTGCTATTTTTACTCACCTACTAACCCTAACCCATTTGTTTGGTACATATACAGCATCTGGGACAGAATGCATCACATCTGGACCTAAAAACCTGGCAATGCCCTACATTGTTTTTGCTGGATAATTTGATCTAGTCTTGTATTTCTGGAATAATCTTGTAGTCTGTAGTTTGTGCACCCTCATGTCAACATGACATGAAGTCTTGTAGTCTCCACTAGTTAGTTACACTCTATTCATGGGTAGCAATTAATAACATCGATGATTTTTGATTGTGTCATGGTACTTAGGTAAATGGCATATAATGTGAATGCCAATGTTGCCATACCTAGCCGATTCCATTCAGTTTCAGACCCGCGGATCACCCTCAACTCCCCATCCTCGGTGCACTCCATCTGGGAGAGAAAGGCTTGGGCAGGCAGGGGTGAGTAAGGTGAGTCCTGGGCAAATGAAACACTGGGTCTCGAGGTGAGCTGGGCATAGCGTTGCAAGGTGGGGCCAACACGCGACAATTCCTCCTCTATGCCTTCAAAGGAGTCTTGCTGGGTGGGAGACAATAACTCTGCTTTACCACAAACCTTAAGTTAGATTATGTTATACCGTTTGTGTGTGTGTGTGTGTGTGTGTGTGTGTGTGTGTGTGTGTGTGTGTGTGTGTGTGTGTTTGTGTGTGTCCTCTCACGTCTTTAGAGCTGGCCTCTATGTCTGCAGCAGAGTGCAGCTGCTGGATGTCAGAGTAGAGCTGAAGCATTTTCAGCTGTGAAGAGCAGAGCTGGAGTAACGCTGTATCCACTTCCTCAGGGTCTGTAATGCAGAAACACATACATACATCACATTTTTCTCTTGCAAGACGAGGCTGTTTATCAGAGAGAGAAGGCTCTGTGAATCTAGCTTGGTCAACCTTTAGAAATAACAATTTAATCTAGTTTTCTTCACAGTAATAAATGAAATTCTAGGATACCACTGTCTTAGAGCAGAACAACCATTTATCTTCTGAAATAATAAAGTGATACTACACCTTGTTGCTTCAGAACGTCATATAAGGCGCCTGTGACTTTAGTAAGACATGAGACGGGAGCATTCTTATTTGACAGCAGAGACTCCAAAGCCTGAAAGGAAGCAGGAAGGCTGCAGTTACAAGTGTGACTGTTACTGCCAGAGACAATATGGCTGCCTGTCTATTAGTGTGTGAGGCCATCTGTACTGTATCTTTAGTTATACCTGCTTCTTAATGGCAGGGTGTTTGATATCCAGCAGCACACTTTTGGCTTCGCTCTCCAAAATATCTGAAAAGAAAAGATGATTAAAAACACATTATTCACACATCTCTCATGTCATCCACATATATCCATGTGTCCATTCTGTTCTCACTCATGTGTTTCTTACCAGGCTCCACCTCTCTGCTCCTCAGTATAGTTGTCAGTCTCTTTAACAGGTGCATGTCTTTGGCTCGCTCACTCTTCTTGTCACTGAAATGAAGAAGACAAAGAAAGAATGGGGTTTGGATGGATTGCTGGCAGACCTCTTTGCCTTTAACAACTTGTAGACTGGGGACAAGGTATCACTGTGGTTGAAAGCCTTGACTGTAAAAGTGAAAGATGACAGTCTGGTTGCCATAAATCTCCTTCCCTCAACATTCTTTAGCTTGATCTAAATGAGGCTCTTGAGCTGAGTCAGTAAATTATGTAGAAAAAATTAAATAACGTGTTTTTAGCTGAGGTATGCAACACAAATATGAATAAAACACATATTACTTTATACAGGAATTAATAATTGAATTGTAATAGCTTTAGAGGTGCTGGACTATTCCTTTAAAAATACGTGTGTGTGTGTGTGTGTGTACCAACCTGAGGGCCAGGTGGAAGGGGATGTTCACTGTCCTCAGTGCTCCTGTGATGGGATCCAGCAGACACACCTGCTGGGTGTGGAGCTGCCAGCCCTGACTGGTGACACTGTTCACCCCCATCAGACGGTAGCCAGCATACAGCAACCTGGAACATTTTACATACATTTTGTTTTATGCTATTCCCCAGTTTGTACAGTGCATGTTTCTGTGGTATGTTAAATATGAAGATGCAGAGGTGCTGTTTTGTTTGTGATGCTTTTGAGGCGTGTTTATACCTGCAGTGTTTTCCCACAGTGAAGGCTCCGACTCGAGGCCCCTGCTGCATCGCCCACACCTCCAGGATTCCCCTGCGGGGGGCGTAAATGACCAGGAACAGGGCATGGCGTCTAGGGAGGGAAGCAGAGGGGGAGAACTCCCGGTCGCCTCTCTCCTCTGGAACCTGCAGCCAACCCAACTGAGCATCTCGGTAACCTGCAGTTAAATGAATTGTTAGATTTATATTGCAGGGACATGCTAAACAACTTCTAAAGGTTATTTATGAATATAGCATAGACTGAAACTGCTGTTTTTATCATCTATGCCGGTAAATTAAGGATTTATTTCAAGCTGATGATGACCAATGGTGGAAAATACTAACAAAGAGAGTTTTATTTTATTTCTGTCCCATTCAGGGTTCCCACCTTTACAAATCATTTCCCAGGACCTTTTCAGAACAGACTGAAACTGACTACATTTATTTGTCCACAGGTCATAAGTAACAATATGAAGGTTTAAGTGTTCATTGCACATACAATTGACATCACTGTGAACATATTTATGAACCACAGTAAAAAGTAATCTGATCATTAATAGGCTGTATGCATGTAGATATGAGAGTTTTGCCCGGAGCTCTGGAAAAATTAGACAATCACTTTTGCATTTGGTAAACCCCTTGTAAGTGTCATACAGCTCATTCTGCCAACAGTTTCAAACAAAAAACGCACCCAGGTTTACGTAGGTGACCTGAGTGAGGGGCTAAAATGTCAAGACAACAGATTATTTCCAGGATTTTGGTCATTTTAATCAAATTCCAGGTGTTTCCATGACTGGAAAACTAGTCTGTAAATTTCTAACTTTTCCAGGATTCGTGGGAACCCTGCCATTGTTTTGGTCTGAAATGCTGGTGCTCTAGTGGACATCCAGTGAATTTTCTACAGCCTTTAAGCTGAATGCATGACTTGGCAGCACTGATTTTAAAGGAGGACTTCAGAAGGAGGGTTCAATGTTTAGTGCTCTTGGACCAGACATGTTTCATTGTTAACACAATATTATTTATGTAGTCAGCTTTCTGCTTTCTCCTCACCTTTCCACATGCGAATGGAAATGCCCCTGGCCAGGTCCAGCAGTGAGACTCGACCAAAGTCATCCGTAACTCCGGCCAGCGTGTTGCAGGGGGACAGACAGATGGACTCGCCGTGGCGCCGAGAGTCTGGGAGACCAAATCTGGATGGAGGAGGTCAGATTCCAGAGAGAGGAAGATGAAAGAACATCAGGAAGCTTCATATTGTCAATAAAACAAGGCCACAATAGGCCTGCTGCATTTGTGTTGCAATATCACAACTGGTACCTGATCCCTAAGGGCGTAGCAGGCTCCACCTTGGGCTTCTGTTTCTGCACAGCCTCCTCTTCATTCTTATTCTTGTTCCAACCTAACCATCCACTGATTGGAAAACAGCAAAGAGAGAGATGAAAAGATGGATAACAGATACAGATAAAGTGAGCATGAGACAATTAAGATGATGAATACATGTAAAGAGAGGATTGGGGGGACTAGAGAATAAGAAAAGGTAATAAAGGAGAGGAGGGGACTGACAACACTAGAAAGATAGTGAAAGAAGATTCATGGAACGATGAAAGCAAACTATCCTCCTGCATGGATGGCATTGAGCAGAGACTGGCTATAATTCAGAGTATTGATTGGGCTGCTTTGTGCTGTTAGAGCAGCAGAGGATTGTCAACAGTGCAGCATCCAGTCTTTAAGTGTGTGTGTCTGACAGGAATCACATGCACACACACGCCCGCAGAAACAGTGGACAACCATTGTTGTCTTTTAAACAATGCACCACACAAACTGAGATGTGATTAATCAGTTTCATCCCGCTCCTTTGGTATTACTCATACAGCTTGTTTCTTTGATTGTTTGTCTCAATTGCTGTATGTTTCAGAAAAGTGCTATTTAAACATACTACAATGAGTTTTTAACTACTTATTAAGCTGTCTGTGTTTAATACTGATTCATCTATACAATTTACATAAACTAACAAGACTACCAGCGAGAAGACTGGCCATTTCTATATAATTATTCTTAATCCCTGCCACTGGGTTGGAATCCATTGAATTCCCCTTGAAGTCAATGAAATGAGGTGGTGGAAACACTACAGCTTTTGTCCACAGGGGCCGCCAGAATCAATACAAAAGGAAAGTTCCTTGTAGCTGCTTAAAGTAAAATTATGTAAATAATGCAGATAAACTTCCATACACACTAAAGCTTGGTTTTACACGCACACACACACACACACACAGACACACACACGCGCACAGACACACACACACACACACACACACACACACGCACACACACTAAAACACACCTGGCAGCATTGAAGAGGGCTGAGGTGAGTTTACTGGCCACAGCCAGAGCCACATGAGAGAGGAGAGGCTGGGAGCTTCCCTAAAGACAGACAGAGAGACACAACAAACAACGGAGTTTACTCTCCAATTTGCACTTATGTTGCCTGTACGGTCATTCTTATTGGAAATAAGCAGCCTGACTTGTTCCAAACACTCACCTCTACAGCATAGTAAAAGCCTGTGTACGGCCCACCTCCCACAGTGACATACTGGCTCATGGCGGGGGGACTGCCTTTGACCGAAGCATTAAACCCCCCCAGGATAGATGCATTCTTCATTTGATCAAACACACACAGCGTCATAATGCCTGAGAGCAGGAGAGATGGAGAGAGAACAGAGATGAACAGAAATATGGGAAAAGACAATGATAGGAATTAGTGCAGGGAACGCAGCACATGCATATGACGCTACAGCATAATACTTTTACTTTTTATTCATTATAATACATACACACATACAATACATTTTGCGCTTCCCCATGAAGTTTTTGTTTTTGAAGTTATATGTGCAATAAAAAAATGCCAGAAAAATTTGAGAATCACCTTCACTTTAATCCTGTGATTAAAAAATAGTTTCTTACCCACACTACTGTGGTCCACAATAGTGTCCATGTCCTGCAGACCCCACTTCTTATAGGCCAGGGGAGGAGGCTGGATCACATCACTACCTGCTGCTGCCGCTGGATGAAGAGACCAGATGATGTACAGTTAGATTACCAAAAAGAGCCTTCATCATCTATTGCCTTTAGTGAGCCTTGGATTTGGCAACAGTTAGAACTGCAGCACTGCGCTTTAATAGTAACAGGATTGCACGATGCACACCAGCACTACTAGATGCTCAGCTGAAGCTTGGCTACTAACCTTCTAGACACTGTATAAGGCTGTATGTGTGTGGCAGTGGTAGTGTGTATGCCTCTTTAGTACCTGAATGCCTTGTGGCAACCACTATCCACACAGCCAGCAAGAAAAACACATCTCTAGTTAACACACTGAAAAATACTAGAATATTTAGCACTAGAATTCCATGACATACCCCATATGCACATATACTGTAAATACTCACAGTTGGGTGCACACATACACACACACAAGCAGCAGTACCTCTTGCAACCTGGTTCCTGCAGGCACGCAGAGACTGAAAGAGGCTGAAACCATCGATGGTGACCAGAGCAGCAGGGTAGAGGATGCTTAACTCTTCATGCTGTGATAGGATTAAATCAATAATGAGACGTTTTTGGGATAGGGTAGGAACAAGTAAACCTTGAGTTTAGAATATTTGGTCATAGAAATAAGTTTTCCTAAGTTCAAGATTTAAAGATCCAGTGTGTAACATTTAGGAGGATATGTCAGAAATGGAATATATTCCATATATTCTGAAACCAACTTTCATGCACAGCTCTGACAGGAGTGTTCGGCGCTTGCATTACCTGCTCAGTTACTCCAGGATGACGAGGGATCTCATATGTGCGACACTTGAGCCTCAGTACAGGGTCCTCATGCAGCAGCTGGGCCAGGAGCAGAACCCCGTTCTGACGAGAAATAATCGGTGTTACATTTAATACCGTCAGCCCTGACTATTTATAGACCATATTGAATGGTTTCATTTTCCTTTGTCTGCTGATAATGATAAATAATAAAGTGAATTGTTGCACAGGCTACAAAAGTGTTGGAGTACACAAAAAGGAGAGATGACACTGCGCTTTAGATTGACAAGGTACCTCTGTGTAGAAGCGGACGTAGCCAGATGTGAAACCCACTACTACACACGTCCAGTCAGGCCGCCCAGTGGAGCTCCTACGCACACAAACATATACTGTAAAAGCAGCTATGATGCACACACACACACACACACACACACACACACACACACACACACACACACACACACCATCTATTTTCTATATAACTAATTCTTACCTCTTCTGGCTTGCCAGTGGTATACAGACAGAGCTGCTCACACACTCTCTGTGGTGAGAGAAACAGAGACAAAGTAAGATGTTGTGTCTGTATGACAGTTCACTTAGATCATGTCCATTATCTCATGTTTCATTTGTTTAAGCCTTTTTCAAACAACTATCCCTTTTCAAAGAGAGCTTTCTTTATCTTCTGTAGTTTTCCATGTCACTCTGAAATTCATTTCCATTCCTGCCTGCGCATTTCCTTAATTTCCTCATTCCCTCTAATAAGTTAATCTAAAGTGACGCTTACCCTTCGTCAGTGCTGAGGGTTCCAGTCCAAGACACAGCCAGGGTCATCTCTTCTCTGCCGCTGTCATTTGAACGCCACTTAGCTATAGGGATTAATAAACATTAACAGTAATATATAACTCCTCAGAGTGCTTAGATGTTTGTGCGTGTGGCTGTGTTTGAATGTCTGACCTGAGAGAAAGACAGCCTTCTGTTCGCGGGCCACTACCAGCAGGTCGGAGCAGGGCGACATGGCCACTACACAGTCCTGCAGCCAGGGTCCACTCTGCCCTGTGGTCTCCTCTTCCACCTGCGGGGCAAAGAGGAAAGTTAGTGGGAGGGGACCTTTCAATCTGTAAATGATGAGTGATAACCCCCATACAACACCTCAGGTCAAGTTTGCTTTTTGTCAGTTTATTTAGAGAATTTTCCATCAGTTTCTTGCAAATTTGAAATGTCCAATTCCCCTTTACTCAAGCCTAGGGCCTGGTGGTGGGTGAGGGATTTGCCCCTGTTCTTGTTTAATAACTCTTAATCTTGCCTACTGTACTCTACCAGTCGCTTTGGCAGGAAATCAAGCCGCCATTAGATATTCTGCTCCAATACTACTTGCTGTTCAAAGTTCATTCCCTGACATTTTTTCCAACATCATTTAACAATTCAACTACTTAAAGTGGTTTCACCTAGGGCTGCACAATATGGAAAAATCACATTACCATTATTTTATTTTATTTTTTACGATTGTGATATTATTCATGATTAATGGGAATGATAGCTTTTCCATAACAATCGTTGTTGGGGTCTGAACAAAACAAACATGTTTTCAGGAGAACAAGATTCGTAGACAAGGGCATCTTTACATCAACACAGTACTTCATTATTATTGCTATTCTGTCTCACATTTTACCTTCATCAAAAATTGCAGCCTCTGAAACTGCACTTTTTTAATTGAGTTTGCAGCACTAGTTTCAACTTTGATGTGAAAATATAGGGTAATTATGGAACAATTGGGCAATAATCGTATAATTTAAGCAAACAATAGTGAAAAACTATTAATGTATAAGGTACTTTTGTTAGCAGCTGAAGCAGTTTTGCAATGCTAGAAAAAGGACAATGTGAGAATAGACGATGAAATAGAAAAGGACAGACCGTTGTGGCAGTAGCGGCTTCCTCCTCTTTGTTATCACCACTGTCCCACGCTGACTCCCACTCAGAGGTTTCCCAAGACAGCTCATTTTCTGTAAGGGAAAAAGGAAACAGGGAAATCAAATTACAATTAGTTTTAATTTGACACCATGCTGACAGAGCAGCTTGTGCAGAGGTAAGATTTCCTAAGTGGTCGATCTCCCTTGGATTCCTAAAGATCAGATCAATCCAATAAAAAGTTCATAGTTCCAATAAAAGACCAAAGTGACTGACTGAGCTGTTATAGAGGTGTGAAATTACAGAGTAGTAAGTCACAGCAGTTCTGTGTGTGGAAGTGTTAAAGCCATCTGTTAAAAATATTCACTGAACACAGACCTGCTAATGTCATTCTACCAAACCATAAAAAAGGGGGTGGGTGGCTGAGGTTGTGCTACAGGGCAATATCCTAAAATATTCATAAGTGGGTGGGAGACAAAGTGACAGAACAAATCCACTGCAGTGGACTACTGCAGTGTGTGTGGTGGCCAACGTCACTTCACTATCAGACTGAGGTGATGACACATTCTCGATGTCTAACCGCATCAACATGAAATGAAGATGTGAGGCAACTGAGCGCAGCGTCCTTTCTGTGTGTATGTGTGTGTCTGTTCTCTTTGGCTGAGCATCCTGCAGTGATGTGTTCAGGTGCCTCATGTGGGATGACTCATAGCACAAAAGGCCCTTTCAGTGCCCTTCTGCTATTTCAGAGCAGATGAAGCTCACTTTAAAAAGGCCTTAGCATCAAACGACTTGCCTTTATATTACAACAGTCAGGCCATAGGAAACAATTGATGCAATTCATACAAGATGCATTTTCTGTACATCTTATATACACATGATTTATTCTGTATCGCACCTAAAAAAAAGAACACATAAATGAACAACCAGCTATGCATTAGGAGGGAGGTTAAAACTTTCACTATATCCTGACAGTAGTAGTAATCTGTGAAACAATCAGGTTCCTCCTCGTGCTCCTAATGGGATTTGAAAGAATCCACCGGGCCTGAACCAAAACAACCAACCAGAGCCAAGAAAGGTAGTGGATTGGTAGTCAAATAACAATGTTTTCAGTTGGCAGCTTGAGGCTGAAAAGAGTTAGCTGTCTTTCTCGGTTCTGATTGGTTGTTTTGTTCCGGCCCGGTGCATTCTTGTAAACGCCATTAGGAGCACTAGGAGGAGCCAGAGGACCCTGAGTCCCCCCAGATCATCTGTCTCATGTTCTTCTGTCAGGATCCAGTGAAAGTTTCAGCAAATATGACAGAAAGTTACTTTTTAGAAAATGTACCTACTGTAGCTTTAACTGATATTTATTTTCCATACTGTTACCTATAACCAAAAAATGAAAGAGTAGCTGCAGACAAACTGGACTTGCAGCCATTAGCTACCTTACCGTAACGTTATTTAGCAGTATGCATAGCCCTTAGCTCCGTTAGCAATGACTTTGTTTAACTTCATGCTGTAGCTAGCTAGTTCCACAGGTAGCTAACAGGGCTATTGTCACTTTAGTTATCGTTGTGCGCTGCAGCGTGCTAAGTTAAACCTGGTCTATCTAGCCCTGGTAACGCACCTGTTTGACTCTTCTCCTCCGCTGGCTCGGTTTTCTGACTCTGGAACAAGTAGTCCCGGACAGTTTTGAGCTCTTGGAGCCGACAGAACTCCAATAAGCTGCAGGACATCTCTCTCCCGTCCCGTCAGGAGCCAAGCAGACGGGGGATCAGCCAGTTAGCCTGCTTGCTAAGACAGTCCAGTCTTAGAAGATCAACGTAGCTTAGCACTTAGTCCGTTTGTACCTCCTGCTACCGTGTTAACGTTATGACAGCGTGTTCACTGAGACAGTACGTCTTACGTGTCTTCTAATGTCCCCTATAAATCTATTAATACGGATCTAGTATTCTTATTTTTCCCAACATTTGCAGTTCCCACCCTAGTCCTGATGTGTTGATGACACACCGTTAGCATAATAACACTGGTATGCTTCCGGGTTAGAGCTGAGTCGAAATTTCAGAATAAAAGATGTGAGATGTATTCATTGACACATAATAACTTCAATGACATGTCATAATAATAATGAAGACATGTTTGTGTCCGTATATAAATAAAAAATGTTAAATCGAGAATATGATCTATTGGTATTTGAAACAGTGTATTGCTATAGTTTTTTCACCAGAGGGCGATAGAGGAACATTGTTCAGGTCTCTGGCTCTCTGTGCCCTTCCTCCTCCCAGCTCTCATGTTTTCTTTAGTTTGAGCCCCAATGCCCAACTCTACTTTTCTGAATGTGTACGAGAACTTTATTGTATATTTTTATATTATAGCTCAAAGGCATACATGCTGCTTGGTGAACATTTGGAAAATAATGCGATCAAACTTATTTTTTCATTTTTTGTGGTTATATTGTAATTTTTAATTTCTTAATGTTTTTATGTATTGCTACAGTATATAGCAACTGCATTTAGGGTATAGGTCTACTGCAGGAGCTCAATACTGTATGTTAATGTAGGTTAATGGAGTAGGATGAAATCACTGATCATGCACTCATTATGCCATTTAGGCCAGCACTGCTTGGAAGCAACTTCTTTAATATGACTGTTGAACATCAGGCGGAAAATGGCAGCTCTGGCAAAAAGGCTGACAAAATCTGGAAATTACCACCAATATTTTAGGAACATTTTCTTCCTATGATATTATAGGTGCTGGAAATATCTGAACGTAACGCCAAGTTTGCTCAGCTATCCCCAGCAATAACAAAATATATACGCCACTGTACCACCAAACCAACAAAGAAATGCAAGCTTATTGCCAGCAGAAGGTGTTTTAGGGAAGATTTTGCCTTTAAATGACTGTATACAGTTGCACAGAGTGATCCTACTTACTGGATAACTGGTTATGTTAAACAGGTCACAGCCTATTTAACTGTGTCTTGTTGCCCTACATAGACGATTTATTACCGCCCTTCACTCTATGAAGTAAAATGTTCAGTGTAAGTGTTCCTGAGGCCAAGACATTCCGAGTCTTGTGGGGTCAGAGGTCAAGGATACTACTTTCTTTCCTTTGTGAACATACTGTAGCGCCTGTGGACCAGCTGTTAGTGGCATTGTTCAGCGCTGCTCAGTGTCTTTTTTTTCCATCCTTTCCTACGTTCTTTAAGAAGCAATGGGCATGTTGCCAGTGCACTTCCCACATCTTCACTAACAATCCCACCTAACATCCAAAACACACACACACACACACACACACACACACACACACACACACACACACACACACACACACACACTCACTAACCTACAGTATAGAGCACGCACACATAAACACACAAATACAAACTCACCTCTGGGGGGTGCCCAAAAGTTTCCGGTCAGGAAGGCCAGACTCAGAAAGTCAGGAAACAATTGGGTGTCAGAAAGGTCCTTGGGCCCGTCTCAGTCACATTTCCCCCGTCCTGTGCCGTTGCTTATTGCGTCGGCCGTTTTACAGTCTAAAGAAACAACTCTCCATCTGGTTCCCCCTCTTCCTTTGTTGACAAGGAAGTAGGCTGGCATCGTTCTGTCCCAGGATGAACGTGTTGTTGATACACAAAGAGAGATGGCATTGATTTATTCAGACACACCAAGCGTTAAAAGGCCTTGGGTGCTTTGAGGATTGTTTTGTGTTGCTTGTTTCTTGATAGCTGTGCACGTCATACGGTGCCATTGAGATTCACACGGTGGAATTAGAATAAACCAGATAATATTTTTTATTGGCATGTAAGACTCAATGGCGACCTGTACTGAGTGACTTGGCTGCTGTGTGATGTGGCTTTAAGTGTGTTTGCCAACCAGACTTGAACGCTGCCCCACTGTAATCTCTTCACAAGTGCACTCGACGTCTGGGAAACACAAACTTTGAAGGAAGTAATGCAGTGTGAAAGACTGAGGTCGGCATGCTGGCTCGACTCCTTGCATAATCTGAAATGAATAGTACTCAGACACAAGCCCACACAGTCTGGAAACCCTGCAGGTCACTGGGAGTTCACCATTAGGCTTCTTGTCTAAAACTTACGGAAGGAGGAGATTAGATGTTTGAGTGTGCTATGCTTATAGCATCATATAAAACAAATGTCATAATGGTGTTTGACTATTCTCACATGATATGGCAGGGTAATGCGTTAGCTTTGGCCCGTGGTGGCAGGCTGTGTTGCGCCATTCAACATATCTATGTAACATTTCAGCTGCTCATCGCACCAAGGGTTCATATTCTGCTCTGCTTCTTACATCTAGTGGAAATCATAGTCCTTCTGCATTCAAACATACAAGTAAATGTTGTTAATCTGACTACTACAGTGGAAACCCTTCAGACTAATTGTTTTCCAGTTATAAGTTTCCCATTGAATAATATTTTTATGTAAAATAAAATGTATGCTATTTTTTTTATGTGTTTATTATATTTGTTTAATGTCTGGTACAATGTACTGTATACAGTACTTATGGGGAGCTACGGGAAAAGTCCTTCTGTCTTTTGTTTTTTTATGTATTTTTTGGTTATTTTTGCTGCTGAAGATTGACAAGAAAGAGTCGAAGCCATCGCTGCTGCAGCAAGGACTCAGCCTTGGCAGATTGGGAGCCAGCTCTATAGGGCGCCCTGATAAAGTGCTTTTATGTTTGTATTTCATTTTGTAGCTGATTTCAGGTCAGTTAGGGTTCTGATGTCTTCTATTCAGACTTTTAGAAACCCAGAGAAGATATGTTTGGTGTGTTGTCTGCCATCAGGTCAATCACGTTAGTTGGCTAAAACATATAACACTGATGTAGTTTCAGAAGTTTAATGTTGTCTCAAATGTGCTATACATGACTGTAAGTGATCTGTGACATGAAATACTAACCTGGCCGTGTACTAAAGACAATGAAATTAAATGCTGTGGAATTATCTTTACAATTTATCCAATTTAAAACAACTATTTGTTGTAAAATAAAAAAGGAAACAGTTATTTAATAACTGAGATGCTTGTGCTAACTTTGTAAAGCATTAGATTCATACTGATGGATGTTCAAGTCTTTAGAATATAGTATGTTAATATTATACTCACTTCAATAAAGTCAGGTCTGTATATAAATACATTTTTTTACTCCACTTCCTGTTTGAAATGATTAGATTTTTGCTTGATGCACACAAAGTGCCCAACTGTCATGGTTTTACAAGACACCAAAAATACAGTTGCAGTGAACAAACATTTCATTTCATTACAAAGTCACAGATTATAGATTATTATACGGCTCAGTCTTACACAGAATATTCTGCCTTCTCTCCCAAGCTTGGCACAGAAAGTTCTCTACAGGAAAGGCTCCCCTCTTGAAGCACAATTGAAGTGTTTCATAATAATCAGGCTAAAAGAAATCATTATAAATGGAAGACATTTTACTAAAAATGACATCCTTTATGTTCTCGTAGACAGGGCAGCAAAACAAGTGGAGTGGCATTAAATCTACCAGTCCCCAGTCCTGAATGTGCTCCTGAACACAATATATATGCCTATTATGTTGGTTATACTTCACATGAGGTTCTACATTGTTACTATTCCTTATGAGACAATAAGTTTGTAATTTTGTTTTATACCATATGTTAACAGACCATTTTTCTCTATATAGGAGAACATTTTTACTCCTAATCCCCTGAATATCACAAAGTAAGGTGATCTGGAAAATGAATGACACATTGTTAAAGTAAAATAAGGATTTCAAGTCATTAGCCTAGGGGTACATTTTTTTTCTGCTTTTTTTCCCTGAAAGCTGTTGTGTCAAAACCTGATGTTTAATGGTTAGTTAGAGTTGAGTTATTTGGCCAAAGTCACATTTTAAACATGCATTTTCACCGACTGACACCAATATATTCTCAATGTGCATTACCTTGTGCTGCTGGGAAGGTTACATTAGGATATATGTCCATAACTGCATATCAGAAAACTACTCACTTTAAAAGTGAAAAGCTTGCATGAAAATCATTTTGCACTTTTTTTTCTTTTTGTATTTAAAAAAATAAATCAGCATATCCAGACGTGAATGTCTGCATTGCATTATGTGTGGAACACAGTTCTATACAACCTTATGAATAGCTTCAAGACAGTTAAGAGGTAATATAGATCCAAAGGTCACACAGACATGTGGTTACTCTTTTATGACAAATAAAATCTGTTCTCTGAACTCTGCAGTGGAAGTTTCTAGGTGTTCAATAACAATATGACACCAGTTTAAAAAAAATTATACTGCAAGCCTTTCAGTGTCGTGTGGTTTTGGTGCAAGTTTCCAGAGTCTATCAGCAGAGTAGAAGAAGTCAACAAACTGAAACACACTTTTCTCAGAAGAACAAATGTCTTCTCTTACCCCCATCTAATCTTGCTCTTAAAATCCTGCAGCCATACAAAATCATCACTGCTGACGTTGTGGTAAAATGTGAGAGGTTATAAGTGCTGTGAAACTGAAGACACGGGACTCTGTGATCCTACTTTACCTGTGGGTATTGCAAAATGAGCATGAGGGCATTCACAACCACGAAACAAATAAACTACACTGTCGCTCCCTTTTTGAGCGAGCCAACAGACTACACTGGCTCTGAATCATCCTTTTGAGTCCCATCACAGAGAGTGACTGAGACTAGTTCAAGGCCAAATGCCAATTTTCTCTGTCCCAGGGCATCTCTCAAATCACACTTATTATGATGATGAGAAGGACATTCATAAGATTATGGGTTTTTGATGATAATATTAGTCTTACATGCCCTCTTGTCCACATGTAGACTGTGATGTTTAGCACATAGTGCATCTCTAGCCCATCCTGTTAGCCATGGAACTAATCCTTGCAGGACAAGCATAATATCCTTTTTTGACATGGCCGGTACTTTTTGAAGTCTTCAGAGTTGAGAGTGTTGTCTTTTTTTTATTTGACCATGGTTCAACATGGTGGCCTGCGTAGAAGAGGACCTGCTCCCTCTGTAGATACCT